TGAGTGAAACGCTGGTTTGGAAGGCAAGTTCTTTCCAGCAGATTCCCTCCTGCAGAGCCGTTCTCTATCAGATGGCCCAGTGCGGATCTTACTTGGCAGGTCAGAGCATTTGGGGACAACTCTGACCATATGTGGCCCATGAAGCTGAAATGTGCTGGGCCCAACGTGCCACTGAGTCAGGGTCTGTTCCTTTGTGTAGCCTCCAAGGCTGCAAATATACAAACGCAGGGGCAAGGTCTGGACACACTTCATGGCACACGTCGTTAAAAGATAGAGTCTTGTAAGTGGAAATATAATTAGACATGAAAATTAGACACCATTTGTAAAACTGCACGCCTAACTACACTAGCACTGTCTACCCTGCTGCCGCAGGAAGGCAAGCTCGAGCCAGCATGCTCTCACTACAAGTGGCTGCAAACCAGCCTCAATCTTAAAACATCTAATGCACCTCTAGTGAGAAAAAAGACAAGAGGGAAATTTCAGGCTTTCTAAAGCTTTGTTCTGGTCACATTTCAATACAGTTTGTCTCATGCACGTTAAACATCACTTGGCAATTCTCTGCTTCTTTTCTGGGAGTAAATAAAGCTTCTAGCATGAGAAAAGAGAAAACTAAAATATGACAAGCCTGCCCCTTTGTGGTAACATGCTTTCTCTCTCCCTCTCTCTTTCTCTCTCTCTCTCTCTCTCTCTCTCTCTCTCTCTCTCTCTCTCTCTCTNCTCTCTCTCTCACACACACACACACACACACACACACACACACACACACACACCAGTCTATTTTTATAGACTCTATGAATTGTAGCTTTATTTAAGCCTCCCAAAATTTGGGAATCTTATTTTATTTCAAATTAATGCTGTAAGATTTTAATTTAGCCATAACCCCTCTTAAAAATAAGCCTCTACTGTCCGTATTTATATCAATGATGATAGACACTGAAAAACATAGAAAAACATATCTCATCACTATTTTATTTAATATATTTTTAAATAGTGATGTCAAATCTCTGTGGATTATCATTTTAGTTATAAAATCATTTTATAGCCATTTGAAATAATGGTAGCACATGAACGCCTTGTCCATATAATTACTTTTGTGGAGAGAAACTGGACCAGGAGATTTTGTTCTGAGATTTATCACTGCTTCTTTATGTGAAACTAGAAAAATAATGCCTCAGTAAAAGCTAAAAAGTCTTGAAAATGGAAAATAATTTTTTTAATTAATAACTCTTAAGTATAAGTCTAATAAATATTAGTTAGAATAAGGTTGGGCAATGAGGGGCAGACAGGGAAAAACAAACTGAAAGTTTGTTTATTCTAAAACAAAGTAACTTTTTCTAAGGAGTCCTTTACAATATGAGTATAAGCAAAAAAAATGTATTTTTATGAAAGTTAGAGCGTAAACATGAAAAAGTGGTATGTTGTGTTACGTCTAACGTAGAGACATAATAATATAACTAGCCTGCCTATTCTGAATTAAAGGTGGATTGGTCACATGTGTTTATCCCCTTCAGCTCTCAACTCATTGCTAAAATGAAGGGGGACATTTTATTTGTAAAGTTACTGACCCACAGGGACAATTAGAATGGGCTTGAAGACAGCAGAGGTTGAGATAGTCCAGTGAATTTTTGGAAAATGTAAAGTAGACGGAGGATGGTACAGGCAGGAGTCCCAACCCATGTGGCTGAGAACACAAGGGCAAAACCTGCAGAGCCTGGGGGCCGACCAAGGAAGAAGGGAAAGAAAAGGCTCAAAACATGCAATTGAGATCAAGGGCCCAGTTCGTTTCCCACATCCACACATGGCACTACCAGTAAATTGAGCTCACTCTGTCATTCACAGAAAAACAGGCTTATTTTGCAAAGAAACCAAACAGAGTGGGGTTGCGCTCACAGGAATTCAGTGAAAATCAACTGAATGTGGCCTCCCTAAGCCCCTTTATCCATGTTACTCCCAGAATGACAGCAGACTGATGGACGTTGCCTCAGGCAAAGTAGTGAAGGTGCATTCTCTAGAAAAAGCTTAAGTAATGACTTTGGGGGTCTTCAAGGAAAAGCACCTTTGTGCTTTAATGAAGTCCACCAGGTGACAGGCTTAACTGAAACTCACAGAGCTTCCAACAGCCCTTTATTTAGTGTCCTTTTTTAATGTATTGATTGGGTTGTCAGAAAAGCCATGATGTATTTTTTCTATGGTTTTCATTGCAAAAATGCATCATGACTTTTCCGACAACCCAATATTAAGGACCAGTCCAGGATCAATAGACATTTGAGGCAAGTCTCCAACAGGAAACAGAGATCAATCTAAACAGAAAAAAAGAAGATAGAACAGATGAGCCTAGAAGATGTAGAAACAATGCAGGGTGCTGAAGGAAAGAAAAATGTCTATGTTACCCTGACAGAGAATAAAAGCAGGATTCCATGAAAATGGAATAAAGAACAAGATGAAAGCTGGGGGAATTAAAAATATGATAATCAAAATTATTCAATAGAAGCACAAGAAAATAAAGTTGCAGAAATGACTCTAAAGTAGAACAAAGAGACAAAGAGCTGAAAACTAAAAATAATTATTTTTAAAATTAGGAGATTATTTAGTATAAACATATAAGGCTAATAGAAATTCTAGTAGGGGAACCAGAAAGCCGATGGGAGAAAAGTGGTGAAGAAATAATGCAGGTAATTTTCTCAGAACTGAAGTTTTCATAACCAGATTGAAGGGCACACCTCCTTCCACACATGCTGAATGGAAAGAGACCCATCCAAAGCAGAGCGTAAAGGGACTTCCTCAAAGTTTCCAGAGAAATGAAACAGCTCATGCATCAAGCAAAGGGAATCAGAACAGTATTGTATTTCCTAACAGCAAAACTGGATATCAGAAGACTGAAGTAGCACCTTCAACTTTGGAAGGATAACGACTTTCTTCTGAGAATACTACATCCAGACAAACTACCAATAAAGTATGAGGGTCCCATAAAAATATATTATGACATGCAAGCATCCAAAAATTATAACTTCCGAAGGACTCTTTCTTAGGAAAGTACTGGAAGATACACTTAAGCCAAACAGGGTAGTTTAAAAAGAAAGAGAAAGACAGGACGTAAGAAACAAACTCCAATCAGAAGAGGAGCAAACGAAAGTTGCAGAACAATGGCTGTGTAGCCGATTAAATTCAAATCTGGTCTACATTACAACAAGTAGCTACAGGAATCGGTTGGCCAGGAAAACAAAATTGAGAGTAATCGCCATGTCTGCCCATGTGTAAGTAGCACAGAGAGGGCTTTCAGGGTGCTTTTGGAAGATTTGGGAAGAAGAAACAACAGCTCCACACACAAAAACTAGGAAAACAAACAAAAAAGAAGGCAAGAAAAACAAAAAGATCAACAAGAAAGGAAAGATAATCAACACTAAATGATAATTACACAGTAGTAATAATGTAAACACTAAATATTGATTTAACCCCAAGTTGTGCTATAAGTGTACTGGCATAATGGTAGATGGAATAAGAAAATTAAATCCTCAACTGTCACAGCAGAAAATCAAATACCAGAAAAAAAATAAACAGAATTAACAGTGGTTTGTTTTTGGGAAACAGAACTGGGAGTTGCACAGGGGGAAGTTTTTCTTTATAAGCTTTCTAGCACTGTTTTGTTTTGTAAACTACTTTAATGTATGGTGCGAATTAAAGAAAATAAATATAAAAATTAATTAAAATAAATTTAGAAAGAAAAGAAATCAGCCTACTACAATAATAGATTAACCTTTATGTATTTTAATGTAACCAAAGAAAATGATCACAGCTAATCTTAGTAAGAAAATGAAATGAGGGATTACCTATCATTTAGGAAATATGACTTGAATAGCCATCTAAGAAAGATTAAACAGATTTTTTCATATATATATTTATTTATATATACATAATCATATAGAACAAACCTGTTTAATTATTATATTTAATAATATATGTATATATGTGTGTATATATTATTTGCTATAAAACTCAAATACACAACTTATAATAATCCTTTTTAACTTATAAATTGAAATACCTGCATGTATATAAATAGTAAAAAAAAATAATTAAGGAAACACAAGTCTATTTTATAAAAAGAAAAATAGTAAAAAGCTTATGGTAAACAAAATTATAATTCATTTCAAGTGAGTAAGCAAATACGTGCCCAAGATGAAGTTTCACAATTATTTGGTCTCATTTTATATTTCACAAAGCACTAGCTTAAAATATTTCCAAGTAATTTTTCACAGAAGGTTATTTATAGAGTTTCTGCTTTTATTTTTTAAACTACTATAGAATGCTCCACTTGCAAAAATCTGGACAGTGTATCTAATCATTGTTAGTGAAGACATATGGTTTTGGTAAATGTATACATTTGAAATTGTTTTTACAGGGAATTAGATTCTTCTACAACTAAGAGATTCAGCTTCAAAATATTATCATGTAGTTCTTAAATCTAACATATTTAGAGCAGCGATCTCCAAAGCTGGGTGCCTAAGGCAATCCACTGAAAGGCAGGAACAAACCTTAAAATATTCACTTTGATTTTTTTAAAGTACATTTATATTTTATTCCTATAGACTTCATGCACTATGGAATAATTTTACAGTGATATATGTAGAATTTATAAATAAACGTACGTATAATGGCAGTGTATTATCAAAAAAATTTTTTTACTGATGGAATGTCATGATCAAAAACATTTGGAGACCACTGATTTAAGAGATGTGTCCCTACTTATAGTTGGTGAACCATTAATAGTCCGTGATGGTAACACAAATGTTCACGAGTGAAGAAAGGCAGGAAAAAGCTAATGTATTTTCTGGCTACATTCCTGTGCCCAATAGTCACATGTGACTAGTGGCGACCACATTGGATAGGGCAGATATAGAGCATTCCCATCAGCACAGTGACGTTCTATGGGGGTAGTAGCTCTGCTCTAAAATAATATTCAGAAATCCGTAAATTAAAATCTTTAATATTTTTATACTTACTAATCGTTACTTTGTCCTTATCCCCCAACATAATGTTGTTTGGCGTCAGATCTCTATGGACAATCCTCTTCTCCTTGTGTAAGTACCGAAGAGCTAAGCACAGCTTGAAATGGCAAAGAAAAGCAAATTTTATTGCCCCCGGCATACATGTACCCACCGATGACTACTATGTCTCTAAGAAATCAGCACGGATCTTTACCATTTTACAGAAACATTTAGTGAAAATAAAAGTGTACCTGAATAAATATTTTCCATAGTCTTTCTTCAGTAAAATGATGTTGTTTTTCCTTCAAAGAACTGAAATGCTCTCCAAGAGGGGCCCCTTCTATAAGCTCCATAACTATATAGAGCCTATCATCTATATTAAAAAAGAAAAAGGTAATAGAAACTTAAACTCAGTAAAGACATCTTGAAAACACGGATTAAAATCCGAGCTTCCCAATGGGTGTGCAGTGAACAGCACTAAAGAGTTGGACACGCACTCAGCCCTGGAAGGGATGGGAGTGGGGAGGTCTTGGGGCAACTGGAGCCCAGCAACAATCTCTTCCAGCTACAGGCTACCTCTGAGCATAAATTTATGCCGGCAAATATTGCCATTTTCTATGCACGCTGCAATGTGGAATGGTTGGGAGGCAGCAGAGAGAGCAAGTGAATGGTCCGAAGTCATAGAGGTCTCCCTGAAGGACATGCAAATCCACCTTTCCTCTCAATAGTCTAATATTTACCCTTGAATTAAGTTAGACATTTAGAAAATTGCATTTTAAACTGCACTGCTTTGTAGTCTCACAGATTTACCTTACAGAGTTTTACAATGGAATCATCCCATGGTTTTGCAATGAAAGACACAGCTGAAAACACCTCTCATGATAGAAATTTCCGTTAGGCCCCTCAAGAGCAGAGAAAGCTGGGCTTCTCCCGGTTTTATCTTATAGATACAGGGAATCTCATAACTGATTGTGTTCGGCTCTTTGCTTTGGATGCCAAGAAACAAAAAAGTATTGGTTTCTCCTCCAAAACCAGTAAGAAACTATTAACAATGGTATGTGATATCTATCTTTTGTGATGTTTTGGGTGTATATAAAATATATATGTACAGAATATTTACAAAAAGGAAATCATACTATACATGTTCTGCAACTTAAGTCTTTTTATTTGACATCCTCATGTGTCAGCACACACAGATCCATGCCGTTCTTTTTGTTGGCCACATAGTGCCCCATAATATGGTTGGGTCATAATTTATTTAATCATTCTCCTAGGGACACACATTTATATTGCTTCTAACTTTTTCATAATGCCAAGAATTATTTACTGTAGGTACTAACCTTACCTCTAGCTTTGTTTTTAATTTCTCACCTTTCATTTCCTTTTATCACAATTTTATAATCTATTTTATCATATTTTATGTAGTTTTAAGCCACTTCCAATTCTTTTTTGAAAGAATTCAGGTTGTAAGAAAACATTTTTTGTTGTTTTTATTTTTAACTAAGACAAGTTGTGTCATTTCAGTAGACGTTAGAAGCCATTCTAGAGCTCTTTATGATAGAGCATGCACTAAATTACAGGATATTATTCTAATATCAAGAACAACAAGCCAACGGTGCATTATTTACTGGAGAGTTACAGCACTGAGTTCCTCTGAGTTATCTAGAGGAAGGGAGATGGGTAAAATCACAATGTGTCAAAGTACACAACAGGTTTGCATAACAACAGCACCTATCTTTGCCTTGTAGATCTTAAAACTTCCTTCAAATGCAGATTTTGAAAGTTCCTATGTGACATACATCATTACAGTCGATCCATACTTAGATTATTTCAGTCAGTTTGGGCTTTATCTCAATGTTTTGATTTGGTATTCCATCATCCTTGCAGAAAGAGACTGCCTGCCTGCAGAATCAGTCAGGGCTCTATCACCACCTTGTGGCAATTTACTTGGACTTCAAGTAAAAGAAATCTGAAAAACCTAGCTCCCTCTCAATTTATTTTGGAGGTGAAAAATATCATCCAATTCAATAAAAACAACTTTTCTTTTTTTTTTTTTTTAAAGAAGTCACTAGCTTTTAGTTTTCTTCTCTTCTGATCCTGCTAAGTGATTTGTGTGTGTGTGTGTGTGTGTGTGTGTGTGTGTGTGTGTGTGTGTGTGTGTGTGAAAATAGCTATAATAACTATTTTGGTTTGTTCATTCAGTGTCTCTCAAATGGGAGTCTGGATATTTTATATGTAATTATCTTTAGGTCACTGATTATATCACTGTTTCATTGATCAAGAAAGTGAAGCACAAGATTGTCCACTGTCATATAAAAGAACAAAAAGAGTAAAGAAAATTGTTGATTAAGCTTATTTTTTGACATTCTAATATAAAAATAAAGATACTTTTCCTTAATTAGAAATATCATGAAAACTTGTACTTACTTTCCAGAAATGTTTTGTGATAGCGTACAACATTGGGATGATAGAGCTATAAGAAAAAAAAAAATTACACTACTTCAAAATACAAACTTATTTTCACAGACAATGTAGTTGAAAACATTTTTGAAAAAAATTCATATTTGAAAACAGCAAAGAAATTATGTTTATATTTACTTATAAAACTAAGCATTTTAACATATCATCTAATTGAGATTTTTTTCATTATTTTTATTTGCTACTTACAAAACTTATCAGAAAATAGCAATCTCCTACACAGTTTATCAAATACAATTAAAAACTGATTTTGCCCTACCACCTAACTTCACTGAAACAGAGAATTGTAGAACTAGAAGAAACCTTAAGAATTCATTTAGCACTCCCCCAACCCAAAACCACACACAGGCTGCAGAGAGAAGAAAACAAAAATTCAGCAATTTATGGTGAATACATATATCATTTCTCTTTACCTCTCTTTACCACTTTAATATTTACATACACTATGTATGTCTATTTGCACTATTTGTGTCTTTTCACATTCTCCAAAATGATTCGTATGAAATTAAAATAGCCTAAGAGCTTTTAACTCTGTTTAAATGATAATAGTTGCCAAGACCTATGTCCTTGACCAAACTTTGCTCAGGCTTCTCTGAGCCCTCTTGTGAGCAGGCCTCATCTTTGGGCTGCCTGGTTTTAGCAAGAATCCCCCCTCTTGATAGCCAATCAAATTCCTCACCTGGTCCTCATCTTTATTATCTAACCCAGTTTCTGTTCCCTCAACCTTGATACCTAACCAAGTTTTTCTAACTAATTTTCCATCCGCTGGCCCCTCACCTGGCCTTTTGGTTAGAATTCCCCAGCTATGCCTATTGTATGCAGAGTTGAGTTCAATCTCTCTCTGCAATAGTTTGACTCCTGTAACAGGAGTCTGGAATAAAGTCTTCCTTGCCATTTAAAAGTTCTCATCAAAAGAAAAAAAAAATTGTAACTATGTGTGGTGATGAATGTTAACTAGACTTACTGTGGTAATCATTTCACAATATATACAGATATTGAATCATGTTGTACACCTGAAACTAATATAATATTATACGTCAATTGTATCTCAATTTTTAAAAAGTGTCTCTTTAACATAGTTCATCTCAGTATGTAACAAGGAAATTCCATTTTTTTAAAGTCATTTTCTACAAAAATACTAAAAATTTTATAGTTGTTTATAATTTGAACTTCTAGGTAAACTGAAATTTGTTTTATCTCAGAATAGTGGCCATTACATCTATAAATGGCTTGCATCTCTTTCTGGTATTGCGTGTTGCCTTTCTGAAGGGGAGTCTGGTACGTCTCCACCAAAGACCGGCTCTCTCACTCTTCCATTGCAACGGAGCTGTAGCAGGACATGGCTTCCCAGTCAGAGACCACATCTCAGCCTGTCTTGCAGCCAGGAGCGGGCCTAACACTAGGTCTCACCAATGGAGTGTGAGGGAACCCTGTGGGCTCCTATGTCTGAACCGTAAACCCCCTCATGCCCTTCCCCTTCCCACCTTGGATATGCATGTGCCTATGGCAGTTCCAACCACACAGATGAAGACAATTCCCTAGAAGGTGACAGAGCAATAAGAGGGAGAGAACCAACATCCATAAACGTCTGCATGGAGCAGAGAACACGACCAACCTGGTCTGCCCACTTTGGGATGGTTACATGAAAGAGAAATAGCCCCCTGTATTGTGAGACCTCTTCTCTAACCCCCTGTATCTTAGAGCCTCTTTGTTATAGCAGCTTAGTCTTAAGAGATACAGTCTCCCATTCTAGTCCCATTTCTTTTCTTTTTTTTTTAAGATTTTTATTAGGGAATTGGGGGGATGGGAACAGTGCTGGGGAATTGGGGGAAGGGGAACAGACAAGTTGCTGTCGTTTTTGTTCTTCAGTCTAGTTGTGGAGGACGTTGCTTCACTGGCCCAAGTTGGCACCATCATTGCGCTCTTCCCGGGTGAGGCAGATCAGTCGCCGGCTTCTGGACGGCCGCTCATCGCGGCTGCTGGCCGCTCACGCTGGCTGCTGGCCACACACGGTAGCCCATGGCAACCCACCGCCACAGGGGCTGCAGCCTACGCCGTCGCCGGCGACTCACGGCAGCCCAGCTCCAGGTTGAGCTGTTGTTCAGCATCTTAGCTGTGGAGGGCAGTGTCACTGGCCCTCATATGTGGGATCCGAATTGGGGCCCTCTGGCATCCCAAGCGAGTTCTTAACCATCGCGCCACTCGGCCGGCCCTCTAGTCCCATTTCTGTCTCTTCTGTCTGCCATTACCTCCTCCTTTTAGGCCTCAATGCTAGTATCCTTTCCATCAGTTCAGTCCTCTGATGAGAGTGCCATTGTACAATTCTGAGTTATCTCAGAGCCCGAGCAGATACCTCTTCTACGGCCCCACCCTGATATTTTCTCTTCTTAGGACATAGGCTAAAACAAATAGTAGTCTGCCTCATCAACTAGCAAGTAACTGGCAGATTTTAAACAATGTGGGACCTGTTAAGCAACCAGAACCGTATTCCAGACCTAGACCACTGGCCAGGATTACATCCCGATTCATTTCAAAGGAAGACAGTGGACCATGTCCCAGCCTGTGTCATAGTCAAACAGCACACTGCCAAAGGCGAGGTTATCCCAAGCATGAGCAAACACAAATCTTTAAAAATCTAATCTATTACTAGATAAAAATCAACCATCAAATAAGCTCTTGATGATACTATTTGCTTTAATTTAGAAATTGGAGTATGGATTTCGATGAATAAAGACCATCATATTTATGATCGTTGCATCTCAGCACAGATGCTTGCAAATGTATCTAGTGGAGACCAAGCGCGGCGACGCCGATAGCTCTTCACGGGAGTTATAAATGGACAGAGTTCCTAACGAATGTACAAACAAGGAAAGCTGTAAAAGGAACCATTGTGTTCTTGGATCACAAAAAGAAGTCCCATTTCTCTTCTGACATGTTTATTCTTTCTCCCCAAACAAACCTTCGTAATGATGGTTAATGGAGTTGTTACATTATGTCAGAATATCCTGCTCATGCCAATAAATAATAGCCCATCTGGAAAATCCACATTTTAGATTTAATAAGCCATATTTGAAGAATGTTAACAGCTTGGTTCCACTTGACAAAAATTAGGGAACTCTTAGTCATATTCTTAGGCATGTAACTAAGTAACCAAATATTCTGCAATACAACGAGAAGCAAATGGATATGCTTAACATGAAAAGACAGGGGTTTCTCATATCGAAGGTTTCTCATTTCTCATATTGAATGCACTCTGTGTTGTAAACTCTGCACCCTTTGCCCTGACATAAACCCCAGAAAGTGTTTCTAAGGTTCAATGTCAAATCTTTGGAAAAAAGCTGGCTAAAATATTACTGTCTTAACGTCAATTATTTGAAACAGAACCAGATCTTAAACAGCATGGACAAGAATAGCACAAGAACATTACTTTCTTCTGATGACATTTATTTAAGGAAAACACCCTCATCAACAAGAAAAACCTTTACCTGCTCTTTAATTATGGTTAGTTCAGAAACAATATTCTTCACACTGCTGTCGCGATCTTTTTTATCCTTTCCAAATGCTGGGTTATGTAAATTGACCTCTTTCATTGCTAAAAGATTTTGACCGCTATGCTTTCTAACCTAATAAGGAAGGCACAAAGAAAAGAAGAAAAAAAAGCATGAGGTGGGGGTAGAAAGGGGAAGAAAGAGACAGGTTAACAAGGTCACATGTTTAAACCAAGTCTTTTAAACAAGTCAGGGAACTTTAAAAATTCTATGTATATTTACACTAAGCTCAGCTCAAAAGCTGGTATCTCCTGGGTTAATCTTTAATATTCAGTAAGCTTTTACTCGGGAAATACAGAAACACTGGTGTGAATTTAGAGAAGGTGGCATGCAGCGGGACGAGCCATTTTGATTATTTTTTTATGTAGGAGATGAGTGACAGCTTTTGTCTTCAGAGGTCAGTGACCAGTTTCTAGAGCAGAAAGCTAAGACAAGACAACATCAGCGCAGCTAACTGATGGACAAAAACCATCATTCAAATCTTCATAACTACGGAAAGCACCCAAACAATGTATACACATTTTAAGAAAGGAAAAAACTGTATTAAAATTGTAATACCATGAATGACGTTAGCATTCATTTGGTTAACGCCATCTTTTGAGCAAACATCATACTACACGTTGCTACTGTAATTCAATTCAACTTCAAAAAGCAATATATAGATAACATCTCTTAAAATGTGTACATTCTTTTTTACACCCCGGTATTTTTCACCACTTTTCAATAAGAGGGCTCCAGTTCAACTGTGCGTGAGCGTGCACATGTGGCATCTGGCTTGCTTGGGGATATCAGAAATGTGCCCCAAGGGCAAAGTCACCTTGTAAACACAGCCAAAAGCTCCACTTCCAAGATGATCCAAAATTGCATAGTTGCCTATATATTTCGAAGGAGCTTTATTCTGATTAATGCTTTCAATATTTTCAGCAATTTGCTTCAGTTCATCATCCTAACCAAAAAAATAAAAAGGAAATGGGTTACTCTGATAAAATCCATCCTGACCACATAGCAGCCTGCCAAAATATTTAAAACTCAAGACTTACCATTAATAAATTCAACTTTGATACCAATTCTTCATAAGCACTGATGTCACGAACATAATGTCCTATATCAATGAAGATCTCAAACAAGTCGGTGGGGAAGAGCCTACAGGGAAAAACACACACATATACTTTGGGCAGGGTTTGGAAACTGTTGCTTGTTCCTTCCGTTTGGATCTAGCTCACTCACAGATTAAGTATAGCACACAAACTTAACTCCCTTAGGTTATCCGCAAGGTGGGGGGAAATAAGACTCAGCAGCTTATCTCACAAAGGTGAACTGTAGCTACAGTTCACAAGGGCAAGGAAAAACAAATGGAAAGTTCTAGAGACCTGCTGGAAAATGTTCTGCTTACAGTTAACAACACTGTACTGTACACTTACATATCTATTAAGAGGGTAGATATGTTATGTGTTTTTTACAACAATAAAAAAAAAGATAAGAGATATAGAGGAACAACTGATGGCTGCTAGTTGGGAGGGGGTGGGGATGAGGGAGAAGGGGAAGGGATTAGACAGCATAAATAGGTAACTACAATATTGCCACAGGGACATGAAAGACAGTTCGAGGAATATAATTAATAATGTTGTAAATATTTTGGAGGGTGTCAGGTGGTCACATGTCTTGCATCATGGATGGGGTAGAGGCTTGATCACTGCACTGTACACCTGAAGCTGATTTGTATTATATTATATTGTATGTTAACTATAAATATATATATATATTTATTTATATATATAGTCAAGGGACGTGGAGTATAGTGTGGGAGTGGAGTCAAGGGAACTGTAATAGATATGTATGATATTGGGGGGGAAGTGGGGCAGTGGATTGGGGGTGGGGGGTTGTCACTTAGAAGGATAAAAAGTATAACTATTGTCCTGTGTTGTACAGCTGAAACTAACTCTAAAAAATGTGTATTTCACAATAAAAAATAATAATTAAAAAAATAGATATGATGCAGATTCTACAAAGACCTTATTTGCAAGGTACTTGTGGGTATGGGTATTAAACATTTTGGGAAGGAATGTTTACTGGGTGTTGAGTGAGTTCTGAGCACCTTCATAAATGCTGTTTAATTCAGTCCTTAATAACTCTAGGAGGTAAATCATTAACCTAATTTTTAAATGTTTTATGAAAATAAATAAAAATACAGGTAAATGAAGAAAAAAAAAATGGAGAGATTTGTGCATCATTTCCAAGGTACTGGTTTCAGGGCTTATTGAAATCTTTAAGTCCACTAAAACGGATGCTTTTGGGCCTTGAAATAAAAGGTTTTAATGAATAACTAATGTTACTTCCTTTTCTTTCCCTAAATTCAAGCATCATATAGAAATACAGTAGCAACATAAAATGTTCTATGCTTCTGAACAAAAGACATTACATTAACTCAAGGTTTTATTTCTACTCTGCCTTAGCAATACAATTCCTGTAAGAACTTGGGCCTATGAATTTGGCTAACCTGCCCAACTAAATGGCATGCAGACCACACATGTAGGTAACTGGGGTCTCCTTGCCAAGGCCATGATTTTTCTGTCATGCTCAACCAGCTCAACCAGTCCAACCAACCCTAAAACACACAGCCTGCTCCCCTTCACATGAGCTCCTACTCTAAGGAGAATATCCAGACAAATACTTTTTTTTTCCCTGTTGATTAAGAGGGAATCACTAGATCAACTTTGGAATTTATAAATGGGCAAAAACAAGCATATAGTTTGATGTCATCTATTTAAAATATTAATGTCTACAAAAGAGGAAGAGAGAAAAACGAAAACCATAGCAGTCACTGTAGTTAAGAGGAGTTGCACTGGTAGAGTGATTCGTGTTCTTTCATCATTGTGTTAAGATATCACCAACGTAGCTCAGTTTTATTCATGGAGTCTAAGAAATCTGCAGACACCTGTTTTGCATACTGACTCATTCTTCTTTCACTGTTTCTACAATAAATCAGGCATGTGAAAACAGTTCAATCTAGTGTTTGCTGGCCACTTAAGTATCTCTAAGCTCATACCTTTTAAAGAGTGGTCTGTTTCTTTCCATACTGAAGAGAAACCTCAAGGCTCTGAAAGCGTAACACTGGAAAACAAAAGACATGATTCTCAAGTGGTTGCTCAACAAATTACGACATTTTCAAAACTGAATTAGCATGAAGTAGCCATTAACATGGCTTGATGGTGAGGGTGGCTGGTCTATGTGGGAGCCAAAGCTTGTGACTGAAAACGAAACCCGTCAACACCTGGGGTAGTTCTTCTACTTAAAAATTGTTTATGTTGCACAAATGCTAGGGACCTCGGCCTTGTTTCACTCAGTCCTTGTCATTAATTCCTTTCTAGAAAGTACAAAATGAGCACAGAGACAAGAAATAAAATGACTCTGCTGAGAAAACCAAACGCCCAGAGATTTCCAGGAGCTCATGGTTCACTTTGTTTCTAGCCTGCTATGTATGCCTCAATGTTTATATGGTTTCTGTGAGAAAATAAGCACTAGAAATGATGACATGTAAAAATAGCCACAGGCACACTGGACTCAAACTTGACAAATTGGTCTCTTGAGTAAAGAGGCTTAAGCATTCCCTGAATAGAAAAATCTACAGTAACTCCTGTGAACACTCAGAAAGAGGCCTGTGAGACTTTAAGGGAGAAAAAAATAAACATCTGACATTTTGCAATGCTGAGAAAAAAAAAAAGAAAAAAAAAGACAGCCCCCATCCTACAGATGTACCTGTACAATAGGCCACCACTGGGGTGATCGGGGTCTGAATTCAAATCCAGAATCGTTTCATCATATTAGTGACCCAAATATAGAAGAAGGGTCACAAACAGAATTGCCCAAAGAAGCCAGGCAGACAACGAAATCACATGAAGGAGGCTGGTCGGAGAGTGGCGGCGACGGTGAGACAGCAGAAAACACGCATGTTCCTCGAAAGCCATTTCCACATGGGTTTTTAAAAGCCCTCTACTGCCTAACAAAATGCATCTGCTGGATGGACTCGGTCTTGGGTCGTGCCTCTGTGGGGCACTAGAGAAATTAAGTCCCGCTCCTGTATGTTCTCATCTGTAGCTCTCCAAAACCTGTGGCTGCCAGTCCACGGGCACCATAAAAAATTCTCTGCTAGGTTTGACCATCATTCCGGGTGACAGCTCTTAAATCAGGTTGCGGTAAAGGTTGTTTGTACTTCCTTTTCTAAATGACTTGAAGAAAAGGTAAGCTGCAACAATGGCCAAGGCCCACTTCAAGTCCGCTGTTATCATCCCGATGTCTTCGGGGACACTGGCCCCTGGTGCCCGACTCCTCAAAAAGGCACATATTGTGTCCCCCTCTTACCTGTGAGGCCTCATCTCCTGTGGCATCCCCTCCCCCCAGCCACACACCCCAGCCCCACTGAGCATGCGGTAAGCTGCCAGGCTCCCAGACTTTGCGCATGTTGTTCCCTTCTGTGTGGAATGCCCTTCCCCCCGATGCCACTGGTGTCCCACTCATATCCCTTCATCCATTTGGCAGGTTCCCTCTCATCAGTCAAGATCGATTTTATGGGCTTTCCTTTGTCAAGGTGAAATGTTAGTGGCTGTGTTCCACGCTTAAAGATGGCAAAGAATTTGCCTGTTATTATTTTCTGATACACAAGCAATACTTATCTTCTTTAAAAACATAACTTAATGGTAGGCAAAGAAGTATCTAAATAAAATGGCGTAATTCACTCCTGTATAGAAACTGCTGTTAAGCCTTTTACATTGTTTTAACAGCATTTGTTTCCATGCCGGCCTCCCTCACCAGAAATTTATCCCTCACAGTCAGTACAAGGACCCCTGCTAACTTAAAAATTCTGAAAATCATAGATTATATTATCAAAGTTTCCCCAGATTTCAGTAACTTGGTATTGAAGAACAATGGGCATGTTAATTTACCTGTAATAGATTAGTCTTTGCTGCATTCTTTTGTTTGTTTGGTAAAATTAATTTTGCTATTGTATATACACCATTTTCCTGGAAGAATAAAGGGGCCATGTTATGACAATGCCATAGAGCTACATAAGCATAAAGAAGCAACTAAACAACCTCAAAAATTAATGTTAGGAAGAAATATTAGTATAATCTTCGAACTTTAAATACGACAGGACAATACCAAAAATGTGACAGGACAATACTAAAAATGTGAATGTAACGCTTTTACACACCAAAGACTATAACCACAATCTTAAAATTTCAGCTGCCTTTAAAGATTATAAATAATAAAGTGCATCAATTTAAAATGATTCAAAAACTTAAAAACAGGGTTGGGGATAAAAGGGGACAGGGTAAAGGGATCCAAATATCTTTATAATCGTTACACATTGCATCCTAAATATCTAATTATGAAATATAATTTCCCCCTTCACAGTTTTGTTAAACAATACATATAAATCACTGTAGTAAAGAAAATAGAAAAATAAAAGAAACAAGAATAATAGATTAAAATAGAAAATGAGTATTACTCAGGAAAACACAGTTAGTGTCTTGCTAGACTTACGCTCATACAAATATATACATGGAGGAATGAACAAAACTACTAACTTATTGCTACTTTTCTATTATCTATTAAATGTATAACTTACTGTGTACATTTATATCACAACTGAAGAACTTTACCCACCTTATTGTGCTTAGTCTTTATAGCTATTTGTGTATTAGTCTATAGTTTCCCTGTTTTACACATGATAAAACCAAAATGTAGAGAGGCTAAGTCATTTTTCCAAGGGACAAGCGGCAAGTAAAGATAACAGGAGTTGTTTTAACAGCATTTGTTTCCAGGCCAGCCTCCCTCATCAGATATATTCCCCTCACAGTAAGTATAGGAACCAGTGCTAAACTAAATATTCTAAAAATCATGGATTATATTATCAAATTTTCCCCCCGATTTCAGTTGCTCCACCAACTACCCCGATTTGCTGTGCTTCCCCGAGGGACTCTAACCATTGGTAACCTGATCACTTACTAGCTTTCATGTATTTACATATTGTGAAGTTGGATATATGGTAGTGAAAAAAAAAGTTTTCTCTTTAAAATTCAATGATGTATTCTTGATGTAAGAATACACTTGATGTATTCTTTTTTCTTTTTTTTTTATGTATTCTTAAAGTGACTGCTACCCTTAACTCATGGTAGCCTATATGCCCAGAATTAAAGCAGTTCAGAATAGCTTTAAAAAAACAAAAAGAAAGAAAATGAAAAGGACTGCACAGAATATAGGGAAGAAACATCATCAATTGACCACATGGCAGTTTTTTTAAGCCATGTGAGTTAAAAGAGGAAGGACAAGAACAGAAAACGGAATCCTGTACGCTAAATAAGAAACATGAAAATATTTTAAAACCAGGTGATGGCATCCCAAAAGCTCCGTTCTGGAATACAGAGGCGGGCCTGAGGTGAGGTCAATCAATGGTGACCTGGTTATGCAGGCCCTACCCTGGGGAGCGGCGTGCTCACCTGGACCACCTGGTGGGCGTTGGTGTCATTGAGCACGAGTTCGGTGAGGGCAGCACAGCAGGCTGGAAGGAAAACCACCAAACAATCATGTCTGTCATCACTGTGACTGCGGTAGTGCTCTCCTACATCAATACTCGAATTCCATGAGGTATTTTGTTAGTAGAGTCACTCAAAAACACTAATTTACCTCAAAACACTAATTTTCTTTCTGGCACAGCTCTAGGAGTGGGAGAAGAAAAACTGATTTTTTTTTTTTAAAGATTTTACTGGGGAATTGGGGGAAGGGGATCAGACAAGTTGCTGTCCTTTTGTTCTTCAGTCTAGTTGTGGAGGACGTCGCTTCACTGGCCCAAGTTGGTATTATTATTGCGCTCTTCCCCGGTGAGGCATTCGCTCACCGGCCATTGGACGGCTGCTCAAGGCGGCTCACGTCAGCTCACAAAAGCTCACGCCCACTGCGGGCCAGCCACACTGGAGCCTACGCTGTCACCGGCCACTCACGGCAGCCCAGCTCCAGGTTGCGCTGTTATTCACCATCTTAGCTGTGGAGGGCAGTGTCACTGGCCCTCATGTGGGATCCAAACTGGGGTCCTGCTGCTCAGAGCTGGCGTCCCAAGCCAACTCCTAACCAATGCGCCACTCGGCCGGCCCAGAAAACTGATTTTTAATGGCTTCTCTCCTCTTCGTGTAATTTTTGTGCATGTACACCCCCCCAGCAGCTTTTTATTGAGCACTTACTGTAGACCAGGAAGCAGGGACTGCATCTGTCTGATTCATTGTAATGCCGAGTGCCCACCCACTTAGCAGGTGCTCAATAAATACATCTACAATGGTTGGCTAAATGAGAGAGTGCTCTAAATATAGTATCCAAATTAACCTTTATCATCAGAGTATGCACTATGATGACCACTTTTACCAGTAGAAAAACTGAGCTTCGGAGAGGTTATGAGACGAGGCCACAGAACTAGCAAGTGGGCGGGGCCAGAAGGCTGACCCTAGTCTGGCAAGCATTATCCACACGGATTTAACTTCACGTTTTTTTCAAACTTATACATTGTGCCTAATTAATGTCATCATACTAATTTTATAACAGAATAATAAGACAATATAATATTAAATAGCATAAAATAGTAAAACATAATAATACGATATAAATACCTGCTTGAAGAGAGAAAGTATTTTCTTGTATTTCCCGAGGACTTAAATCTTCTGACAGATGGAGCTGCTGGATTCGGCCTGCTGCATTTGCACTAGACAGGCTTCCAATGGAAGAGCGATCAGAAACAAAATTCCTATCTCTGAAAAAGAAAAGTTAATGCACAGATCAATTTATCAATTTTCCTTCCTGGTCAGTGCTTTCTGAGTCCTGTGTAAAGAAACCTTTGCCTCCCCCAGGTCACAAAGTTTTCTGCTATGTTAGCTTTATTGTTTCACCTTCCAATCCACCTAGAATGGATTTTTGTATATGGTGTGAAGTAGGAGTCTTCTTTCTTCCTTTCTTTCTTTCCTTCCTTCCTTTTCTCTCTCTCCCTCTCTCTCTCTCTCTCTCTTTTCTTTTTAACATGCTTACTGAACTGACTCAGCACTATTTATTGACAAGACAGTCCCTTCCCCACTGCTGCACACGGCCACCTTTGTTTTTTACCTCTCTTCCGCTGCAATTAATTCACCTGACTACATCTCAGTCCTCATCATCATGTTTTCTTTTTTCATGAAATTCTAATCTTCCTTTATTTTAAGAAAGTTCTCTTCTATATATCTTTAATTTTTTTTTAATTCCTTTTTTTGTATTCTCTAACTCAGGGATATCAATTACCCAAAAACTCATCTTCTGCTGGCCATATCTTTCATTTTCTTATTGCTCGTATTTCTTTGTCTTTCTCCTCAATATTACATGAAAATTTTTTTTCAATCTTGCCCTTCCTTTTCCTCATTCCAGTTTGTAGTGAACTTACCAGTGCTGTGTATGTTATTCAGTCCCTGTCTTCTTTCCTAGCTCTGCAATCTCTCTCCTCCTTTTTGTATTGTCCTCTCATCTCATCTTTAATCTTATTTCATATATGTCATGTTCTGTTTAATGTCTTTGATAAAAATAAAGCATTTGTTTTTATGTTTATTTAATGAAACTTCTTCCACAAGAGATTCTTCATGTCTTTTATCTGCCTTGTTCCCTTTTGTTTTACTTGGTTACCACATTTTATCATTTATTTATTTTTTTTATGCCAGCAGTTCTATCTGGATTCCTATGTGCCTAAATATAACGTGGACAGAATCTCCTCGGCTTCCCTCCCACGTCATCTGGGCCCACTAGTGTCCCTCCTTCACTGGGCATGGGGAAGGGAATGGAACTGGGCCTAGGGACAGTCATACTCAGTGACCTTATCTGTAAACATAATTATGTTAAAACTCAAATTTTAGTGATCATTCCACATTATCAAGAGTATACAGCCCTCTAGGAACCACTTTTGAGTTTGGGGTCACAGGGGAATGCACATGAACAGGTTTCCTGGAAACTGCCCTGACGACAATGCCTGTTCATACTCAAGCCAGCAGACAACCTGGCAGCCTTCAGCCCTCGAACCAGCTCCAGGCAGCTCAGGGGCAGGCACCCAGCTGGGATAATAAATTCTCCTAGAGCACTGAGACATATTTAACATAGAATAAGTGTTGACGTCTATCATCTTCCCAGGAAAGAGTTTTCTAACATTGCACCATAGAAACATACTAGGAAAATGACTCTTTAGACATGTCGAGGATTGCTATAGCTTAAGCAAAAGAGAAAAATGGTACCTTGTATTAAAGTCAAACTATATGTGGTAAAAAGGTAGATTTTTGTCTTTGAAGTATTGCTTAACTATAATAGAATTTAATTTCATCATCAAAACAACAATGACAAAAAACTACTCTCCAAGAGGACACCCCTGGTGTAACAGGCGTATTGATAAATAATAACCACCACCACCACCAGCATCACCACCATCTTCCTACAAACTCAAGCAAAAACAAACCTTTGTCAAATGTAATTATTTTGACCAAGGGGCTAGCTTATTATGCCACTGTACTAATGAAATGTTTACAATTTATAAGTTAACATATTTGAAATTTTCAAGTGACACTCATAAAAGCAAGTGGAGAGTCAATAATCTATTTTTTTTCCTTTTTTTTTTTATAATGACAGAAATCATTAACAAAGCTACAGTTTGTATCTCTACAGTCTGTTCTTATGCTTTGGAATGTCCTCTCAGAGAAAATGAAATGGATAACACACAGTCCTGCAATATCCCTGGAGGCATAATAAGCACAAAGTCTGAATAACATTGATTTGATAATATCTAGTCATATTAAAATTGATGCCATGGCTTTTATTAGCGTGAGTTTTATTTATGTACCACAGATGATAAATGTGAGCCCTTTGAGGCAGACATACTCCTTTTCAACTTTGATTAAACATGTATAGGGCTGAATTATACTTTATAATAATTTTAGGTAATAGAACCTTCTCAGTAATGGTACCAAAAGATGTTTTCATTCAATACTTTAATATATCTACCACATACAATATAGTAGTTATTGCAACATCAAGAGAATTTCAATTTGAAAGTATTTTAAAAAAACCATTCCTTCCTCATATTCATGGCTTTGAGTAGCAGTGAAATTCTACTTTTAAAAGTGACATAATAACACGCTAACTCATCTTATAGCACCCCAATAAAGATTAGAGAGAAAGGAAGAGCAACTGGACCAGGGTCAGTAACATGGCAATCATTTGATTAACGATATTTTCTCCTATTTTAAGTAAGGATTATATATCTGTCCCTTCAATGTAGACATTGTTTTCTCTTTACAGATGAATGACGTGTATGCACACACAAACATTTTGGTAAAATAGTAGCAATTACTATACTTGTTGGGATTATAACGTGCATATACTCATTCAAGAAATAAGGTGGCAAGACAAATGGTTTCCTTGGGTTATTGGGTTTCCATTCCTGGCATTGTACTGGAGGCTGGTGATGCAAAGATAAACATATCAGGGCTCCCAAGGAGCTTGCAAGATGAATGCCCCTGACAGGAATTTAGAGCATGTTTGTGACAAATATAAATGGCTCTGCAAAACATGAATGACCAAAGAGCAGGAGGGAGCGAGTTGAGCATGCGCCCAATCTGCCATCGTGCGGCAGAGTCCCCAGCCTGCGATGGCCGGGGTGAAGTGAGCCCCAGCCCACCCTGACTCACCCTCGTAAGATATGAAGCAGCTGCTTGAGACCTCCCCAGATGCGGATTTCCACGCTGGTCTCGGGGTCTTCACAAACCTGCACCAGGATCCAGACGACACTCCAGAGCAGCTTCAGGTGGTCAGAGTGCAGCAGACTGAGGAGGACGGGGACGCCCTCGTAGAGCTTGACCTGCTCTTTCACCTGGGGCTCGGCACACAGTAGGCGCAGCAGCTCCGCAGTTAGTCTGGGAGGGGGCGGGGAGGGGGAGGATGAGGGTCACGCACAGGGGGTCACTGACTTTACATTTAGACCAGAGCTGTCACCACTGCGTAGACGATAACTCTAACATTGTCAAAGTTATAGTTCCACATATGTTTCCTGTAAAGGGCTGAACCATGGCCAAATGTTTTCTGCTTTGCTGGCCTTACAGGCTGCATCACAACTACCCAACCAGGCCAACATGTGCAAAAGCAGCGATGGACAACACCAAAAACAAATGGGCTTGGCTGTGTCCCAATAAACCTTTATTTACAAATACAGGCAGGGAGCCACATTTATCCCGCAGGGTACAATTGGCTGACTGCTGTTCTAAGTCATATGCTCATTGTATCCCCACTGGTCTGACTAAAAACCTACTAACCAGCAAATAGGTGTCAAGTAACTACAATGAGACCTACAGTGGGCTCGAGACAAAAAGAATTATAAAAGCTTTATCCTAGTTTTTAGAAACTTACGATTGTGGTTGCAAAAACAAGACATTAATACAAAATGGCAAAAACACTACAGGGCTGGGGAATTAAAGTCTTCAGTGACTATCTGGAGAGTAACATAAATCATGATGGCATAAGACACAGGGTTCAGCTGAGCTGCAAAACATTATGATGATGAACATTTCATAGAACCACCCTTAATCTTCTAGTCGCACACTCTGAACACTTCCCCTGGACAGCATCACCCATTCCCGTGGCTTCAGACCCTCCCTGTAACCTGGCACCGTGAGCTCGGCCCCGGCATCCCTCCAGCCTCCAGAAGTTCTAGCCACATGGCTGTTCCACGGGTACTCACCCCACTGTGTCTAAACTCAAAGTCTTTATTCTCCTCCCCCCAAACAGCCCTTCCTCTCGTAACCCTGCTCTTGACTCACAACACCACAGTCTTTTCAATTTTCCAAGCCAGGGGACTGGGAATCATTCAACCCCCTTCCTTCTCCTTTCCCAACCTGACAGTGCCAATCAAGAGCCATCGGACCCCCGGGTTTCCTGGGCAACTGCTGGGATTTATTCTCTTGAAAGTCCTGTACCCAGCTAACCCCCTCCCCACCACCACCCCAGCTCCTTTCATTCCTGTGATATTTGATTATGCACAAGATATAAGCCCCTCTGTCATCTACCTCTCCAATATTTTCATTCCCATAGTGCTTCACAATTCCTTTCCCCACAGCCAACTTTCAGTGGCGCCTCTCCCTCCCAAACTTTTATGCTCTGACATTCAGAATACAAATTCTTCGGTCAACAGTATTCTTCGCCTTCTCAAACTTCCTACACAAAACAGACCCTGCTTGTTCTACGTGGATCCCGTTGTGTGGCTATGTTTCCCACACCCCAGCCCCCACACACTGCTGTCAGAGTAATGCTCCCCGCAAATAAATCTGATCTTGCCTAAAATCTTTCTGTGAGTCCCCGTAAAGTTCATGACAAAAACTACACTCTTAGTTAAGCACAGTGTGCCCATCATGACCTGACTAGCGGTGTCTTGTGGTCTCAGCTATAATACATGGAAGTGAACAGGGTTATTGTGACGACCAGATGAGCAAACACACAGAAGTGCTTAGAGCAGGGCCCAACATATAGAAAGCCTGACAAAATTAGCTCTATTTTTAACCTATCATTAACTGACTAGTCTAGTTTTCTGGTACTTCCTGTCCTCTTTGCTGCAGCTGTGCCCAACCACGCAAGACCCTCTAACACGTACCATTTCATGCCCCCATGTGGGAGCATAGTCTGTTTTCACTTGCTCTCTCCCTCTGTCTAGATAACTCCTCCTCCCTTCCGGAAGCTTGGCACGACCCCTCCCTCTGGTTGGGAGTTTCTGAGTTTCCATCAACCACACTGCTTACAGTGCTATGATGAAACCGCTGCTTTGCGAGCCTGTCCCCTCTCCTGCACTATACACTTGTTATCTTATTCATCTTCGGTTTGTCAACACTTGTGCAGAAGCTGTTTGTTGGGCAAATGGGTTCATGTAGCCAAGTCTATGAGTGTAGTATGTAAAATTGTAGAATGTTAAATTAAATTGGCTTTTAAGTCCAGGTGGACTTATTATGAGTTAAGTGTCAGGGTTTCATTACTTGACTTTCTGTTATTTATTTTGCTTCTTTAGAAAGTTAGTCAACTAAATATCAAATGATGTTGGTTGCAACACCATTTAAAAACAACGTAATAACTATCTGGATATAGCAACTCTTTAGAGCAATATGTAGTCCAATTGCAAATGATTTCATTTTACTCTAGATTCTGTTTTGAGTTATAATAACAGGTGGTCATGAAACAAGTCAGTACCTATTTTAATTTATTTTACTGGCCTTCAGCAAAATACCTAGATTTTGGCAATCTAATCATGTATTCAACACACAATCTGAAATTACTAAAAATAGAACCATCTTAGAGTTTCTTTCCTTAAAGACACAGGATGTAAATGAATGCAATAAACAAAAATATTAAAAATGTGATCCTATGATTTATGTAATTTGATCCTATGCCCAGATCTAGAAGTAATTCAAGGCCAAAAGTAAACTGATATACCACTTTGCTCTACTTTCATTATATAAACTTAAAACGAAATAAATGCCAAACTGACTCACGATACGTCAACAATGTAACATGGCATAATAAAAAATAATAATAATAAAAATCATTTTCATCAAATATAAGACATTGTCTTTCTCCCTTTTAGCAATCCTACCTTTTGGAGAGCAAATCATATTCATGTAAAATCATCAGCAGATTTTCTACAACATTGAGTTCACTTATCTTCTCCCTACATTCTGGACTACAAATTGAAAACTATTAGATAACTATTAAAAACACAGTTTACCATATCCATTTATTTAATATCCTAGCTCTCATATTATCTCAAGATAAGAATCAAAATGCAACATAGCTCTATGGGGTAAGGCTACATCAAATTCCAACATTCAATATATATTATGTGATATAAATTTAAATGTGTTTAATAACAGTATGATAACATATTTCCCTTTATACAGAAAGAATTATATGCTGGTCACAAAAAAACTAATGATCAGTATTATTCCTAACAGCCAACATATGGAAATGAGCTATATGTCCCTTGACAGATGGATAAAGGAAAAAAACATTATACACACACACACACACACACACACACACACACACACACACACACACTTGAATATTATTCAGCCATAAAAAGGAAGGAAATCTTGTCATTTGTGACAACATGGATGAACCTGGAGGGCGTTATGCCAAGTGAAACAAGCCACAGCAAGAAAGGCAAATACTGTATAGTGTCATTTATATGTGGAATCTACAAACAAACAAACAAACAAACAAAAAAGCAAAAACTGATTACACAGAAACAGAGAACAGAATGGTGGGTGTTTGCCAGAGGCTGGGAAGAAGGGGAAACAGGAAGTTATAGGTTAAAGGACATAAACTTGCAGTTAGCTATAAGAAGAATGAATATTGAGGATCTAACGCATATATAGCATGGTGACTACAGTTAATAATACAGTACTGTATACTTGAAAGTTGCTGAAATTGGATCTTAAATGTTCCTATAATATACAGACATGGAAGAGCTAACTATGTGAGGTAATTGATGCATTCATACCATGGTCTTGGTAATCATTCTACAATGTATAACAAATCATCATGTTGTACACTTTAAACATACATACAATTATATTTGTCAATTATTTTCATTAAAGTTGGGGAAAAACACAAAAAAGCAATGATCTACTTATTAGCACAAAAACATATTTAAAGCTAATTTTATTTAAAATATTTATAACATCTATAAGGGGTTTTAGATGTTATCTACAGGTTATCTAAATTTAGATAAGCTATACAGGTTATCTAAATTTTTTAAGGGTAAAAAGGTTTGAAAATGTTTTATATGTTAAAATAAATACACAGGAGAGAACGGTGAAAGAAGGTCAGGGAGATTCAATTGTCAAAGAAATACTGTGGTAATTTTGAAAGTAGAAGTAACTGAGGGTGAAAGGCTAGGTAAATATTTATGTTCAGGAAAAAAAAAAGAAAAATTTAAACTGTGATTTGCCTTTCCAACTTAAATTTTAACATGATGCTTTTGCATCCTGGATCCTCTTCAACATATTAATGGCACGCCACGCTTATTTTTCTAAGTAGGTAACAAAGTAACTAGAGAAGCTAATCTATTTTGTATCGCTCTCACCTAAACTGCTACAGCAATGCAACTGGAAAGTACGCACTTACCTTTCAGCTAAACTAGCCAGGGCGAGAAGGGTGCCCAAAAGAACATTCGTATCTCGGGCACCAAGTAAATTCACTAACGTCTGAAAAAAATAAAGTAAAAGAAAGTTTAATCAAGTAAGCACTACAAGCTTCTTGAACAGTGCAATGTTTCCTTCTAAAGATCATAGAGGCTTAACCTCAAAAGGAGGTCTGTTCCTCATTCACAACATCCAGTTCTTTACAGGGAGCAGGTGTCAGCCCCCTCCTCACTTTGGAACTCTTGACACCAGCACCCTGTCCATTCCTGGCCCAGGACAGAAAGGGAAATGGACAAAGCTACATGGCCAACCTGGTTCTCACACTTCTGCTATGTCCACGTGCCCAAGAGGTATGCGCTGCCTCTTCTGGCCCCTCCCCCCAAGGAGAAGTGACAGAAACACTGGCATAATAACTAAGTGCAAACATATAATGCTGGCAAGCGACCAGTCACTGAGAACGCATTCTGAGTCAGGCACTGTGCTCGGTACTTTCCAATATATGAAAGTATTTTTCACCAAAATGTTGAAAACGGTCATTTTCCCCCTAAACTAAGCAAGCTATGTCAGTACCACCAAGCACTCCATTTGCCTCTCAGATTTCTAATGCTGTTGAAAGAACATGAATTGATGCTCCCAGGAAGCATCGTAATTTGCATGACTTAGCTGGAAGTCTTCTGTGTCTTACCGGTTGCCTTCTCTGAAATATTATTAATGCAAACGCATTTCTCGTCTCTCCTCATTTCCAGAACTCGGAGTTCCCCCAGAAGTACACACCCAAACACATTCCAAGCCATAGCTGCAGCAGCTGCCAGGATGATTTTTTGGTTTCCATCCTGTAGATTTTTTTCCCTCTGGATGGTTTCATGCATTTTTTATGAAGCTATCATTATGTGTATTTCTCTGATCCTTTTCTCTGTTTTCATCTCTCACTTCCTTTTTCTCTCTGCCTTCTCACATCATGTTTCCCAAACTTCAGTCACTGACATACCATTTTCACAATTTTAACCAGGTCTACCTAACACCTCAAGGTTGTTCAAAAATGTTCTTCAGTTTCTAAGAAATAGTATCAGTGAAACATAGCTATTTAAATGAAAAATGTTGACCTGTATGTCACCTATAATCATCCCCTGTACAGTGAGAAGCACCTTGGGCCACCTTGCTGGAAAGTGGCCCCTTGGGGTATGAGAACGCAACAGATTATTAAAACTTGGCTCTACGCAGCTACTATCTGAATAATTTTGCTATAAATATATATTTAGTTTGTTTTGGTTAAATCTGCATTCAACCATTTTGAAATGTACATTTGACCCATATGCTTATAATCCTATACCATCTGATTATAAGGTTGAACCACGTGAAATTGGCTTCCAGACCATGGCAATTTCATGTGGTACAAACCAATATAAGCCTGAAACTCTTTTTTGGGTAATGGAAAATAAACCTTTTTTGAAATTGGCATGTTCCAAATTTTATGAAGTAAGTATTGTTATTAATCCAACTTTATAGGTGAAAACTGAATAGCCACTGGCATTTTAATAGAAATTAAATGAGCCCAAAAAATACTTTTTACTAAAATCTGTTGTGGGAGTCTCTCTTGCATTAAATACAGTAAGCTTGCGCTCAGTGACACTCTGAAACATGAAATTGGGCTTTTCAAGATAAGAGTTGTAATGTAAGTCTTCCTTCTGGTGCCATATGGAATATATTTATATGTATACATACATTGTATCTATAAACACACACCGAGGGTCAGTCTATGTGTATAGTCAGGGTTTTTCAAACAACATTGAAACGAAGCAATACATTTAGTTGGTATTAAGTGGCATAATAAAAAATAAAAAAAGTTTCAGAAAACCCGTATTTGATGCTTCTATATTTACTCCTTGGGCTGATAATGAATATAAAAGGGTTGACAGAGATTTGCAGTTCAAGGCGAGGATAGCAGATTGGTGAATTATAATGACACGGGGCTGAAGCAGTAACTCTTTCCAGGACCACTCACCTTGTGGGCTCCGCTTGTGGTGACCCATTCTCTTTGGTCTTTGACAGCAGCAAGTTTCTGAAAAATATCTATAAAGGAAGGAAATAACACAAAGAGGGATTGGGAGCTTAAAGGGGGCGGTACTCACAGAACCTCAGGTGTGAAGCACGGACAGATGGGCAAGCAGAGAAAGCGCAAATGGGAAAGATAACACAGGAGGAACAACGGAGGACAAGGGACAGGGTCATGTTTCTCACTCCAAGAATTACCTCTTGAGCTCAACTAGTATTTATTGTGCATTACCGTTATAATAGTGAAGTATGGAGACTGCAAAAAAGGCACAAAAAACTCTCCTTTTACGTCAAGTTAAATGATTCTTTAACATTACAAGTTCAAAGCAAAACCCATTCTTCAAAAATCCTCCCTGTAAAGATTTCAACTTTAGAAAGAGAAGAGGGACGGCCAGAGAACGTGATGGAACTAGAGGTTCCTCAGCTGAGGGACACGGTTGTTCTCAAAGAACCTTCTGGGCGCTTAGGACACATACCCTTCTCTCCCTGTAACTGAGGGTCTGTGTGCCTCTCCTGTAAACAAATACAGGAAACCAGCCTACTCACAAAGAAAATGAGCTAGCATCCCACCACAGCAGGAAGTCGCTGGCTCATCAAACCTGAAAAGGATGAAAGGTAGGGATGGGAAGAGTCTCCAAAGAGAGAAGATTGAGTGATGGAGAGAATAGCTCGCCCACACAAACCAATATTTTTCATTATAGTCATCACATTAGGGGGTTCTTTTTCTTCATTTTTATGTTTGTCATGTTCCAAATTTTATGACGTAGATATTATTATTAACCCAACTTTATAGATGAAAACTGAACAGCCTGTGGCATTTTAATAGAAATTAAAGAAGGCAAAAAATATCTTTAGTAAAATCTACTATTATGGTAGTCTCTCTTGCATTAAATAAAGATAGCTTGTGCTCAATGAAAATCGTCTTAAACATGAAATTGGGCTTTTCGAGGTAACAGCTATGATCTAAGAGTCTTCCTTCTGGGTATATTTTGGCACTGAATATAACAATTGGCATGGACCCTCAATACCATGACTGTATGGACACGCTCATAAACATTTAAAGTATCCCTTCTCCTGCTGCAAACACCATGCTGCATATTCTAGCAAGTCCAGAGAGTTGGCTGTGTCGCCACAACAACGCTTACATGTCATGTTGACCAGCTTGTCCACGCTGTGCTGCTCTTCACCATAGCCCAGGTACTCATTAGCCACAATCTCCATGTACTGCGGGAGGGACCAAACCAACAGGCAAGTCAGGAGAGAAGGCAGCAAAAGCACCCAGGAGGTGAGACAAGATTGTGCACTTCTGAAAATGTGCTGTAGGTGGCGCAACAGATTCACCAAATAATACTTCCTCAGGGCTTCCGGGCCCGTTTTAATCAAGGGCAAAAAGGCTGCTGGGCTTGTGGATTCTTTGTCCTCTCTTGCATGCCCTGACGTTGAGAAGGGACCGTGTAATGACTGTATAAAGTCCCAAAATGACTTGTAAATGAATGAGTTGGTGGTGTAATTTAGTCTCCAAATATGATACAAATAAGAGGCATAATACATAGAACATAGAATTTTAGTTATTCAACATACCTTTTTAGCAGAATTTTTATAACACACTGATATCTTTTGTTGATCTTATGTTTTATAATATCCTAAGTTATAGCTAACCAGCGTACAAGCAGATAGCAAAAATCAGAATGAAATGTGTATGAGTTATTCTAATAATCTCTAACTGTGGATAACTGATTATAATAAGAAATAGGTTCAGAGAAACATAAATTTCTGATATTATAAGGAGATGAAGAAGATCCTTTATAATTTTTTGAAAGTCTATTTCATTAAATGAGATAAATGTCCAGCCAATTTTTAAAAATTCTTACAAATAAAAGCCAGATATGTTGTATCAATTTCCCAAGAATTAAAGTAAAATAGATATAGCATTAAATTGCCATTAAACTTAATCTTCCTTGAATAACTCAGAATGAGTTTGTAGGGCCACAGGCTTACTATGAAAACCATTCTTTCCGTACACGCTATAGGTTTTAGGAGAATGGACTATTCCATATCAAGGCCAGGCCATGTTTCATTATACTAGTAAACCCAAACGTTTGATTGGCTCAGCATATACAATCACCTGCTTACCTTTCCTCTATAGTTACCAAAGCAGAAAAATAAATGAAGCCAATCAAGACCATTCCTCACATTTTCATTTAGTTGTTACTATTTTAGTGAGCACAGTAATTCTTTTTCTTTTTGTGAGAAAGTCCTGAACATCTTCATAACCAGTATTTTCTCGAATCATTTGGTATGTGCAGTGCTGAGGACCTGGGCCTGCCAGCCAAGGCCTATCTCTTTTCATTACTAAGTAAAGACATGTGACTTTTTATAGCACTTTCTCGTTTCAGCAGGCTGGGTAAAGTGAGCTCAATTAATCAGAACAAAATGTCATGGGTCCTGCCCTGCTCTAGGAGGATCCTGCCCACGCTCACAGGTATTAACCCTGCCTGTCCCTCCATTAGCAGGCAGCCTAAGGCAAAACAGCCATCTTCTGTCACACACATATGTAATCCTTGCCCAAAGCCACTGCACAAAACAGAAAGGCAAGACCAGCCACTGCAGAAGGAATCTTACCTGAGCCAGGTTTTCAATCCCACCCAAGCTATGGAGTATTTCCTAATAAAACAAAAAGAGAACATACATAAAAGATGAGAGTGGAGGGAAAACGGTACTTTGCATGCAATTTCTTTATTAAATCATGAGATGTAGAATGATTTCTTGAAGGTCCACATTCTAACATAAATATGGAAAACTTGAATGCTTGCCATTCATACCACATTTAAGATAAACTGTTAATAACAAGGAAAGTTGGGTGGAGATTCAGAGAATGTAAATACACTCAGAACTGCAGCCTGGCTCCTCATTTGTTTTACTTCCTCCCACGTCATCACAGAATGTTAGAGCTGAAAAGTACCGTTAGATATCGTTCCCTTCAACCCCCTCATGTTGCCACGTTAGGAAAACTAAGACCCGAAAAGGTAAACCATTTTGCCTAAGTGACAATCCAGGGATAAGAACCCACTGCTACCAATTTTCAAATTGACTTCATACAGAATGCAGAAACCTGGACCCAGGAGGCCCTGAGAACCTTCTTCCTCTAGGCCTCTGCCCAGTGTGGACCCGCAGCCGCAGCCTCGCCTGGGAGCTGACTGGACAGGCGGAATCTCTTTACTCACCCCAGACCTGCCGAATCACTCTGAATTTCAACAAGATCCCCAGCTAATAATTCACATGCACAGTCAAATTTGAGAAGCATGGCTGCGGTAGACGACTGCAGGGCTTCTCCTTAAAATGATTAGGCTAACGGTCTTATTAAAATCAAACTCTACACCAATGTTAAGGATAATCATTGCAACAAGCCTCCTGATACAGGTCTTTAAATCCAATCCCCAACAAGAAGGCATTTCATTACTCTCTGAAGCTGACTGAAAAGTGCTAAACGGGGACGAGAAGGGGTGAGAGGCTGGATTCGTGCAAGGGACTGGTTTGGAATTCTGAATAAAAGCAAACGTTCTCAGGTTATCCAAACTGACGTATTTCAGGTGGCCCTAACCTGTTTAATTAAAGCTGTATTGACGTCTCTCTTCTTATTTAACATGCACACAAGCAAGTTTTCTGAAATATAAACATGAGCCATCATTCCAGTTCTGGGAAATGCATGGGGATGAGCACATGAGTTTGAGAGGCAACAATCTAGCTCCACCAGGAAGCCGCCTGAGCGGGCAGGCCAGGAAAAAGGCTCAGGTTCTCAGGGCCTCCTGGGTCAAGGTCTCCTTAGTCGGTGTGACGTGAATTTGGAAACACTAAACACATCCATGTTTAAATTAAGAAGGAAGGGACATTTATACCTCGGTTAAAAATAATTCTGTGACTACCTACTAATTTGAATTCTCATCATTGCTGTTCAGTCTAGAAAAGCTATAATTAAAGAACATAAGAGTATTGTATACATTAACCCTAGTTACGGCAGGATATTTTATACATATCAAAATAAAAATAACCTTTTAAGACAAGTATTTATTCAACTTTTTTTTTTCCATTGCTGTTATGTAAAAACCCTGGGATAGACTCTGAAGAGGACACAAACATGTCAGATGACAGAGGCCTACTTCACTGAGCTTCAGGCAAGCTTAAGGTAGATATACAAATAAATGGAATTTAAGATAGAATTTGGTCAGTGTTATAAGAAAGTTATACATGAAGTGCTACGATACCCCAGAGGAGGGACGCATCATTTCCTGTTGACAGGACTAAGGAAAACGTCAGTGAGGGTGGTGGCCTGCGACTGGGCTTAGAAAGATGGATAGATTTGCTGAGAAGAAATGTGGGGAAAAGCGGGAGATAAAGGAGGTTTCAAGCACAGACAACAGTAGGCTCAAAGGTCCCCAGACGTTGTGTAGAAAGAACACCAAGAGGTTCCATAACTGCGAGCCACTTCCATAACTCCAGGGAGGGCACTGTTGGGAATAGTGGTCGAAAAGTAGGGTGGGGTGAGTCTGTGGGAGGACTTGCGAGTTTTGATCCTGGTTTTGAACTTTATCACGCAGACCATAAAACCCAATGAAAATGTGTGAACAAGGGACTGATCAGAAACAGCTGGAAGGAGTGCCCTCCAGTCTTAGAAGGAACTGGAGAGGAAAGGTGCCCATTGGAAGCCCAGCTGAGTGGCCATGGCATCCGGAAGGCAGATGGGAGGCGGGACGGGTCTTTGGAGTGATAAAATCAACTGAACAGGAAGACACGTGGTAAGAAAGGGAACAAAGTTGCAGACATCACCATATTTGAGGCTGGGTGACTGGGGGACAGTGAAGTGATTAACAAACACAAGGAAGGAGAGAATAGACTAGGTTAGAGGCGAAGACTCAGTTTGGACATGTTGAGTTGCTGATGGGATGTGCAGGTTAAAAAACAAAAAGTACAAGAGGCCATGAAAAATGAGATGAGGGCAAAAGATTAAAATCTGGGAGTTGCCAACATGAAAGAGATTTAAATTTGAAGCTTCAGAGTGAGAGGACACCAAGGGGGGGGGGGATAACGTTTAAATGGTTGTTCATGGTCATGTCCATTCTTAAATGTTCACCTTGACAGGAAGTGTATCTATCCAATAATCAATATTAACAATATGGGACTAAGTCAGTGTTTCCCAAACTATGTTGTGGGAATAATCATTCTATTCTGTGCAATGGGTGGTATTAGACAGTCTACAAAAAAAAAAAAAAGAAGAAGAAAGAAAAGAAAAGAAAAAAGAAAAAACAGAAAGAAAAGAAAAAGAAGAAGTTCCACAATCAAATTCAAAGTACCTTGGGAAATGCTAGATTAAACAGAATTTAACAAGTTCTCAAAAGACTCCTCAGAGCTTTTAATCCGCTGCATACACTGTAAGTCTCCAACGGGAGAACTAGCTTGGAGCTTTTTCTAAACATCCGTAATCGAAGCACACTTCTTTTCACAGAATACTCATTAACTCCTGTGGAACACAGTTTGAGAAGCGCTGTTATAAAGTATAAAAAGGACAACGAGGCTTTGTCACTCTCAGAGAATGTTGTTGCTAGGTACTCTTTAGAATTTACCCTTCATTAATGAAATAAACATTTTCCCCCATGCTCCTGTGGAGACTGGAGCAAGGCCAGGAGGTTGCTCGCAGACCCATGGTCTCTTTTGTATTTCCTTTGGTTGTACCAATGGGATTGCTCTAACCTGAGAGCATCACTGGAGAAAAGCAAGTCCACAGGTATGCACATACCTGGGTTTAACAGTTCTGGTTACTGATCTGAAAAGCAAATATGACTGCATGCTTAGATTACAGCAGTGCCTCCCGTGGGCCCTTTCAGACCTCAACGTTTTCTCCCTGGTCCCAGGCCGGAAGGTCCGAGACTGAGTTCAGTACTTTGCCGCCTGATGACCTGGAAAAAGCCTCATCAAGCTGACCTACCATTCAATGTGCAAAATGTGAACAAATGTCCTTGTTCTGTCTATTCCCTGAGATTTTCCTTTTAAAAAAACTGATACAATAATATAATACAGATAAAAATTATGTCTGAAAAAATAGAGCACACTGCAACGCCAACATGGGTGTTATCAGGATACCATTATTCTTACCACAGCTGAAACTGTCAGTGCCATTAAACACTCTCATCCTAAACCTACTCAGCAACTAAATCATTGCTGAACACACTGCAGCCTTTGATACTGAATCACTACCATGATCATTTTACTCCTCTGTTCAAAACTTACCAGTAGCTCCACACTGTTTATTCCTCCATCATGATTTTAAGGCCCTTCTCAGCACTGCTGAGATAAGTGAAGACTTATCTTTCCAGGTGTAATAACAACTACTCTTCCAAGAGGCTGGGCATATTATACAGAGGGTGCCCAAAAAATGTATAGACATTTTAAAAAAGGAAAGCTGTATTAAAATTGTAATACTCAACATATACCACTTATAAAAGATGAATACAAGTCACGTTTGACTTCTGCAATTACAAGAGGTGCTCAAAGTGGTTACCATCAGAGTCCAGACACTGCTGATTACGGCGAACTACTACTTGAGCAACGTTAATCGAAGTGTCCACTTGTGTACATTTTTTTGGCATCCTGGTATTCGTAGGGGTGAGTAAAAGTTTTTTACCCTGGAGTCTGGAGGAAAGGTGATGCCAATAAGATCATTAGGAATTGGTTCTGAAGGTTCAAGGTGAGAGGAACAATGGAAGACGTCCACTTTCAAGTTATTGAGTGTGATGGACTACAACAGCAGGTCTCAAACTCTTTGGTCTCCGTACCCCTTTATACTCTTAAACATTACTCAGAACCCCAAACAGCTTTTGTTTATATGAGTTATATCTGTTTATATTTACCATATTAGAAATTAAAAATGAGGAATTTTTAAGACACAAGAGTACACAAGCACATGTCCCATCAGCCATCAGAGTCATGACATCATCACATATCCTGTAGCCTCTGGAAAACTCCACTGTGTGCTTGTAAGAGAGTGAGAGCAAAAAGGCAAATGACATATTAGCATTATTTTGAAGACAGTTTTGACTCTGTGGAACCCCTAAAAGGGTTTCAGAGACTTGTAAGCAGCCCCCAGACTGCACTTTGAGAATCATTATGCTATTGTGTCATCGAGATGGCTGTCCAACATACCCCTGGAAATCAGGGCCTTAGATTAAATAAAAAGTTTGAGAATGGAGATGTGGATTTGGGAGCAAAGAATAACAGCAGCAGCAACAACAACAACAAAAAATGATAGTTGAAGCCAAGAGCTTGGAAGGTAGGAAAGACAATGATAAAGAAAATAACCTTGGGAAGGTTAACATTTAGGAAAGCATGATGTTTTTTTAGGGAAAAAAAGGAGCAAGTAAATAATATAGAAAAACAAAAAAATTCTGAGGAAGAGCTCGGGGTTCTCAGAGTTGGTGAACGCAAACGGAAAATGTGGTAAAGGTGTGTGTTGCTAGAGAAATTGGAGGATGCAAACCCTGAGAAAAGGCTGCTCAGCTAGATAATCTTTTTTATTGTTGTTTCTAATGTAATTGTAGTTTAGGATCTTTTAAGATTGTTTCCTTATCTTTGATAAGTAATGTATTGTGGGTTCCCTAGAATGAGTTCAGGTGGGCATTTATCTTTATCCTGCTTGGGACTCTAACTTTACCTGAAATCTCAGAGCCCAAGTCGTCCTTTAATTATGCAAAAGTCTAAGCAATGATATCTTCAAAAGTGCTTCTCTTTCATTCCATGCAGTCTTTTCTGGCTGGAATCTCCATTAAGCATATATTGATGCCTCTGTATGCTGGCAGGAAAGATCCAATCTACAAGCCACCAGTTTGCAGCCTCTGGGTCAAGGAATGATGACAGAGCCATGGCACACGATGGTCTATTTAAATGACTTCCAGGGAGAACCTTGTACACAGAATTCAATGTGCAAGTTATGTAATACATCAGTTCCAGATAGGAAGGAACTGGATTTTAAAACTACATCCTGACATTTCAAAAAATGTAGTAATGAAGGTAAGATGGAAGATTTGCGGGGATATCTGGCTCAAGGAAAGGGCATTTTTATGATAACAGAAAATAGAAAGGGAGCCACTGACACCATAAGAAAGAGAACAGATGGAAGAGTAAGCCTTGGCAAGGAGGAGAGGCTTTGGAAACAAGAAGTAAAGTTGCATGATGATTCAAATATTTCAAGCAACAAAGAAAATAAGAGCGCCCTGGCTGGGATGGCTTCAGTTTTCCCTGTAAAACAGATGATGTAATTTGTTGAGAATGACTGGGGGGCGGGGGAGGGGGTTGGGTGTGAGACGTGGAGATGGTTTGAAACAGCAGCTGTAGCTCCTGCAATGAATGCTATTTCAACAAGCGAGGAAAGGAATGCCTAGCCATGGCACAGGCTTGCTGAGATTCATCGTCATAAATTGTCGTAAGCCCCTGCATAGCTTTGTGACTTCGGCCAACGATTCTTGGCAACTTAAGATGTTAAACAACTGCCTGAGCACATGCTCTTCTTTGTGGAAAGAGGTCCAGGAGGAGAGATTCAGAGAGTATCCCTTCTATGGAAAGACCGGCAATCAGTTGGAGATACAATGGAATGTGTGTTTGGGTCAGAAAATCCCATAAACAAAGAGGTCATTGAATTCTTTCCTTCAGAGAGCAGTACCATCAATCCTGTTCCCATCAGTCAAGAACTAGATTAAGAAAGGCAATACTTTAGATGGAGATCAGCAGAGCATGACACAATTGTCATCGATTTTCTGAACACACAGGATATCTCTAAGGCAAGTTTTTTGCTAACTTCTTTCTTTAAGTCAAAAAACTAGATCTCCTGCTAAAACAATCCAACTTCCTCCATGAGCACTTTCATTAATATGATATTTGGGTGAGATATATGTTCTCACCCAAACTGACACATGCTGGAGAGTAAAAGAGGGTGCTATAAATAGTAAAGTGGGAACAGTGAGCACATAGTGGGACTGATGCAGGCAAAGTGGAACCTATGGTCCATCCTTACTATATACGACCACACAGAATTGCAAATGGCAGCTCAGAAATGCACAGAACACACCATTTTGTATGGTTGGTCATGAGGGAAACAGACAACTGTGAGTGACCAGGACAGAGGGCCATAAGGGTTTGCCCTGAGTCCACATGTTCAAATGATTGCGGTTGGTTAAACTATAATCGCTTAGAATACAGAAGAAGGAAGTGGGTGATTCTTCTAAGGGAAAGGTGTAAAGCCACCATGACTCTCAGAAGACTCAACCCAGAGCAGGTTCTATAGCTGGCTAGTACCAAACATGTTTAAGTACCAAGTTTGGAAAGATGGTTACTGGGATAATGAAAAATAACACCTTTGACTCAAATAACAGTTCATCAATAGAATCAGATCCAAAATAAAAGATCTTCAGAGTGGGCTGAGCTTCCTGAGCTTATCAGGACAGGGCACAAAAGGAAAATACTTCTTAAGGAAAAAATAAACTGTAGAAATTACTGAAGCATGTATGAGCAATAAGAGTGCTCTTTGGCTATTTCACACTGGCAAGCAGCGATAATCATGATCGATAAGCAACGCTGAGGCTTTGGGGCCGTGGTTCTCCAACTGTAGTTCCCCCCAAGTAGCTGCACCAGCATCACCTGGAAACTTGTTAGACATGCAGATTCTCAGGCCCTCCCCAAACCTACTGAATCAGACATCGTGGGGGTGCGCCTCAGCGACCTTTAAGTCCTCCAGGTGTTCCTGATACAGAAAGCGTTTAAGAGCTGCTGCTTTACGGAAGCAGCTGGGACTGGGAAGGATACCTTTTGAGGTCCAGCAGAAGTGTTAGGTAAGCTTTTCTTTAGGGCCTCGCCGCCAAAATACTAAGTTCTTGCTACTCCGAGTGTGTGTGGGCTGTGGACCAGTGGCATCGACCGTCCTTGGAAGCTTGTTAGAAATGCAGAATCTCGGGCCTCAGTGTAACCCGACTGAATCAGAGCCCGCATTTCCAAGGTCCCCAGGTGATTCATCTGCACATTGACGTTTGGAAGGCAGTAAAGCACAGGCAGCACATTCAACTCAGTAGTGCGAGGAGGGAACATTCTAGACCTCAGCAGTCTCCTCTGAGACAAGCAGGAGGCCCTTCCTCAACTCCGACTCAGGGGCTCGGGCTGAACCCTGGGAGACATGTGACTCTGGAGGCGCTGCTGAAGCCGCAGGCCCTGCCTTTCCCACCGGCTGCCTCTGAAGCCCCCGAGGGGGCCCCCACTTGCCACTGCTGACCTGGACCTAGTGAGCTGCTTAACCTTGAACATACCTGAAGGCGTGGCCAAGTATACACCTCTCTGAACGGCCTATGGTTGAAAATGCTCCGTAAGAATGAAAACAGACCAACATGTCATCTACTTAATCCCACAGGTAATAGAGTAGAAATGTACAGATTGTTTTGTGTGTGCCCATTAAATCACTTCTGTCTTTTTAAATAGCAAATAAGATATTCCCCAAATTCGGAAGCTATTGAGTTGTGAGAGAAAAGAAAATTAGCATGCTCTACTTCAAAGAAAAGCCCACCAGTTTTGTTTTGTATTTTCTTTTTTTAGCTGAGCCATCCTGCCACCTATTGGCAGCTGCTCAGGCCGGGAATCGAACCACTAGTTGCTCAGAGCTCGCACGCTTGAGCAAGCTCTTAACCAACTGAGCCACTTGGCTGGCCCACTTCTTTGTGTGTGTGTTTTTTTTTAAATTTCATTTTATCTTCATCACAAGTAAAATATATGTTTTCTTTTTTCCAACTAACCTGATAACATGGATCCCTCATTAGTAGTCGCAGACAAATTAATACTCTCAGAAAATGAATAGATGGGGCTCGGTGTACCCACGCTCTGAAAGAAAAAAACAAGAGAGAACGTGTTTGTTCCTGTTTAAAAGACCAATGTAACCATTCATGAACAATACAAGACAATGAAGGAGAATAAGGAACACATAAAGGAATAGCACTAGTTTATTTCAAACTTAATCTGCAATGAGGACTGTTATTTGGGACTCGAACACTTGACCCATTTTTTGCAAAACACATATAAATCATACACACCATCATTGTCACTATGAAATAGAGGCCCCCCAAATTATGTCGTTCACAGTTCCCTTACTGACACCAGGCAGCCCCTGACCAAAAGAACTAGCTAGAAATTCCAATAATTAGGTTCAACTTAATCAGAATGCAAGCCCTAATCACTTAGTATCTATTTGAAAAAAAGAATACACATCCATTAAAAGAAACACTTTTTTTTTTAAAAGATTTTTATTGGGAAATTGGGGGTATGGGAACAGTGCTGGGGAATTGGGGGAAGGGGAACAGACAAGTTGCTGTTGTTTTGTTCTTCAGTCTAGTTGTGGAGGACGTTGCTTCACTAACCCAAGTTGTCACCATCATTGCGCTCTTCCCGGGTGAGGCAGATCAGTTGCCGGCTTCTGGATGGCCACTCACTGCGGCTGCTGGCTACACACGGTAGCCCATGGCAATCCACTGCCACAGGGACTGCAGCCCACACCGTCGCCGGCGACTCACGGCAGCCCAGCTCCAGGTTGAGCTGTTGTTCAGCATCTTAGCTGTGGAGGGCAGTGTTACTGGCCCTCATATGTGGGATCCGATCCGGGGCCTTCTGGCATCCCAAGCCAGTTCTTAACCATCGCGCCACTCGGCCGGCCCAAAAGAAACACTTTTGAACTTTATTCTTCAATAACCACATTTACTTATTAATGGGGTGTGTGCACCTGTGGACACTAAACAACTTCTCAAGCCTTGTAATCAGATTGGGCATCACCATCTTTGTGTCCTTTTCCACCTGCTTTGTATCGTAGCAGCCACCAAAAACCCAGCTTCAGGAAGATATGCCATCGTCTAAAGCAAGGGAGCAAAAGCTTAATGTGGAAATCATAAACCACCTTGCGTAGTTTGCACTGTGTCTGATGGGTGTCATGTACTGCTGTTGTCCTTGAAAATGTAAGAGGCTGTGACACCCCTGGGGGTTCTCGGAAGCCCCCAGGGCACTTCAGGGGGCAGTTTGGGTGCCCGTGCCTTTGGTGCTTCCAAGGACAGCCTTTTGTGACATATTTACACTGGATCCTCCCCAAGAATTAGGAAGATGCTCTCTGATGTGACATGAGGCCAGTCACATGCAATTGTTCTAACCAAAGTGTAAGTTGTGGTTCAGAAGCCACCAACACAGCACCTGTCTGGACTCCTGAGGGTAGAAGGGAGGAAGGCTGAGCGGTAGGACTTGCTGCTGTGTGTGCTCCCTAAATCATCCACGGAAGGTGGTCCCTGCCCGTTGACACTTGTCTCACACTGCCCTCCAAGCTAGTTCAACAGTGACACAAAAACCTAAAATAAAGTGCCTGCTATTCCATACTTAGCCAAGATACTCTGAGGAAGATAATGGAAGCTATTCCAGATTAGAATCCACGTCATTTCTTCCACCCTCTCTCATCTCCACAGCTGAGCTGCTTGTGCACCCAGCAAGGTTAGGGTCCTTTAAAGACCTGCCTCTCCATCAAGTGGAGCATTTACTCGAGCTACGATGCTAAGCCAACCCTCATCTGGCTTGCCCCATATTAATCCTCAGTGGTAGAATTCAGCTTTGTCTCCTCTACAGCCCTGAGAAGCTCAACTCCTCCCCCAAACCTGCACGTCTCAAACCCGAGTGCACAAGTCCCACCCTCCTTGAAGGCAGAACGAACATCTGTGGTTACGGACACTGGGGTTGTCACGCCCTCCACACCCTCTTCCATTTCTATTCCACCTCAAGCCACTCACCATTCCTTCCATCCACTGAGACGTAGCCCGTGGGAAGGAGGTTGGTAAATAGGCTTTTCCCATGGCCTTATGTTCCCAGGGATGTCTGAGTGCTCCTTATAGATTAGAGCCCCCAGCAGAGGCCTGCTTTGGCGGGGAGAAGTAGAGTAAGACGTGACAGAGCCTTGCTGGCTGAGGATTATTCTTCCTGCCATCACCAAGGCTTCTGGCAGGAGCTGCCCACCACAGCTGCGGGCAACACCATGGCCCTTTCTGCCGCCCAGGCACATGGCAGTGACACCTTAGCTTTGGAGGCAAAACTCAGCTTCTTCTGAAAAGAAGGGAAGGACTCAACCCACTCCAGGGCTACCAGACAGGCAGAACCATCCTGCCAGGTAAGGATGCACTCACTATAGTTTATCCTGAATTCCCCGCATTGGGAAAAATAAGGCAAATTTGAAATATACTTTGAATTTAAAACAATCACCTATAGGTACACTCATAAGAATGTGGTTCTTCTGAGGATCCTATTAACAGAGAGACACCTTTAATCTTTATAAATAGGGAGATGGCACATGACTAATTTCGCTTTCAGGTGTTGGGGACAGTTAAAGATAGCATGTCGCCTAAACTGTATTGCAAAGATACTGCACCCCCAAGACCTAACAGAAATAATGATCAGGTTGCAACAGCTACTGACCACCTACTGAGGTTTAATGCTGATGGCTTTTCATTATTTAAGAGGAAAAGCCATGGGACACACTAAGAAATGATTCGCGGGTCAAATATGTGCACACTTGGTATTTTTTCCTAACTATATACAATCTTCATGAAAAAAGTTCATGGCCTTTCCAATGTTTTCATATTAAAATAAACATGAAAAGTGTTTTGTTTCCTCCCCCCTCTAAAAAAAAGAAAAGAAAATTCCAGAATAGGTTTCATGTTTAATTATTAAAGAAGTGTAAATAAATGAAGAGTTCCAGAAAAGTCTATTCCAAGCAAATGGCTTTTTTTTTTTTCAGTTTTGGGACAGAAGCCCAAAGCTATTAATATTTCTGCATGATTCTGGCCTCTGCTGTTGTAAATGTAAATAGAATTCCTGGTGTCTGAGTCCTCTGGCTTCTCCTCTCTGAGCATCGCCCTCTGAAGGAGCAGTTGTTCCTTCCTTGGCTCTCAGCCCCTGACCCCCG